ATGCATAGTGAGATCCTGTCTCAAAAACAACAAACAAAAAACTATAGAATTGTCTTGCCTGGGTTTTCCCCTTGTATGGATGTTAAACCCTGTCCTATTTTTTTCCATTCCTCCCCTTACCAGTCTGGACTTCTGTTGAATAGATTCTAACTGAGGTTGTGCTCCTTTTTCTTTTTTTCCTGCTCTTCCCTATCTCTGGCTATTTTTTTTTAAATTTATTTTTAATTATGTGTATGTTTGTCTGCGGAGATATGTGCACATGAGTGCAGGTACTGAGAGGCCAGAGGTAACAGATCCCACTGGAACTGGAGTTACAAGTGGTTGAGAGCCACCTACATGCACTTAAACACTGAGCCATCTTTCCAACTGTAGGCTATTCTTGATAATACTTCCACAGTCCCGGAAAACCTAATTGTAGTATCTTTATACTTAAAAAAAAAAAATCAGTTAACTTCATCTTGTCTTGTAGGATAAAGGCCAAACTCAAAAAAAAAAAAAAAAAATGCAGGGTGTGTCTGATCTTACATTTCCCATTACTCCAACTGAACCAAGATGTTTCTTATTTCCTGTGCTTCTGCCTGTGGTTTTCATGTGTTTATCCAAGTGCTTGGTGTTTCCTTATTCTTTGTCATCAACTCTATTAGCTGCCCATCATCTATCTCCTTTCCTGACAACTATGCTTTTATTCATAATATGAGACACTCAGATGGTTTATCACCAACTCCAAGGTTAGTTTTGATTAGTCTAAACCAATCAATTCATTGCATTCCCTTGTAATCTGTTACTTGTCCCAGTCAGGTTGAACTGAAGGAGACAGATTATTTCTGCAGAAAATGGTTCTTCTTTCCCTTCTTGTTCAAGACCAAGAGAACAATGAGGCCGCTATTGCTACTGGCATTTGCCCTCTAACCACAGGGGATAACACATCCCCTAAAGATATCAGATCAGAGTTAGAAGAAGGAATCTTAAGTCATATCATATACTGGGCCTTACTTAATACAGCATTTCTCATGACAGATAAATTTCTCATGGTTTATAAATTATGTATGTATATGTATATGTATATGTGTGTTTTGAGTACATATTGTGTACTACATGCATACACAGGCCAGAAGAGGGCTTCAAATCCTCTGGAACTGGAGTTGGTTAGCCACCATGTGAGTACTTAGAACGAAACCTAGCTCCTCTGGAAAAGCAGCGTGTGAGTGCTCTTAACCACTGAGCCATTTCTTCAGCCATAAATTTGTTTAAATCAGCTCTTTGGAATTAAAAAATATTCTGGTTGGTACAGTACTCTATTCTCAAGATCTAGTTATGTTACCTCTACCAACAATAGCCAACTCTGTTGGCACTTGAGTCCTCTCTTCCATCCATATCATAGCATATTGTAATTACTCACATGGTGTGTCTGACTTTAAAGTATATAGAACATAGTGTAGTGTCTGTAATAGATATCCAGCAAGTGAACTGATAGGATAAAGTAACATGATGACTATATTAGTGCTGTGTAAGCAAGTTTAAAATAAATGTAAAGTATGTTATTATTTTTAAGTCCAGGTAAAATGGAAAATTTAGACTAGATATTGTTTGCTGGCTCTTAATTATTACCTGGAATTTATATTTTGAGACATATCACTCTGTAATCGAGGCTATCCTTGAACTCAGAGCAGTCCTTTTGCCAAATACTGGAATTACCTATGTGAGCTATGCCTGGTTAGATATTTTCACTTAGATAGAAAATGTGTATTTTCTATTAGCAGTTAAAAGCAAGTACAGAGTTTGGTTCCCAGCACCCACATCAGGCAGCTTACCACTACCTGTAACTCCACTTCCTGGGATCTGATGCTCTCATCTGACCTTTGCAGGCACCCACATGCACACATCCACACACATACACATACACATACATAATTATTTAAAAATAAAATAAATCTTAGAGAAATCACCTCTCATGTTCGTCTGTTCATTTATTTGTTTGTTTGTTTGTTTGTTTATTGTGGTTTTTCAAGACAGGGTTTCTTTGTAACTTTGGATCCTGTCCTGGAACTAGCTCTTGTAGACCAGGCTGGCCTTGAACTCACAGAGATTCACCTGCCTCTGCCTCCCGAATGCTGGGATTAAAGGTGTACCCCACCGCCGCCCAGCTTCTCGTGTCTCTTTTAAAAAAGAAAATGTGGATCTCATTTTGTCATAGTCCTTATGAAAGGAGCAATGTTAAATTCTATTATTGTACTATTCTTACCATTTTTAATTGGGAGACTTACATGCCAGAACTAACTTCAAATATATTGTGTGTATGTGCATATATGTGTGTTTGTAGCAGCCTGGTCTACAGAGTGAGTTTCAAGACAGGCTCCAAAGCTACAGAGAAACCCTGTCTCAAAAAGCCAAAAAAGAAATTCAGAGATCCAGCTTCCTCTGCCTCCATAGTGCTAGAATTAAGGACATGTGCCTGGTTTAGATGTTATTTTTTTTAAATAGCCTTATAAAGCAGACTTTTTCATTATCATTAAAAAGAAGATACTTCACCCAAGATTGTTCAGTTGAGAAATGGCAGAGCTAGATCCAAAACCAGGGAGCTTGGCTCCAAAGTTCATCATCTTCGCTGATCTATATACTTCCCCTGCAGCATAATTGTATGTTTATTGATATTAGACTTTAGGCACTTTTGAAACATGCTACTCATTTTATATCCCTGTGTGCTCAACACATAGATATTCAGGAAAATACTTGGTTGATTGAAAATTCTCTTACTTGATTTTGAGTATCCAAGGACTTGAAACCATGGCTTCACACACATGCTAGATAAGTACCTGACCATTAGGAGATTTCTATTTATCTGTCTGTTTCCCAACAAAAATTATCTTCAGTTTGAGAGCAGAGAGGGTGGTGGGGATTGGGATGGGGTGTCTGCTGTTGAGACAGTATCTTCCTCTGTAGCCCAGTTGGTTTCACACTCTGTATCCAAGGATGACCTTGAACTTCTTTCTGATCCTATCAGATTCTGGCATGTGCCATGTCTGGTTTATGTGGTGTTAGGTTCAAATTCTGGGCTTTATGCATGCTGAGTAAGCACTCTGCCTACTAAACTGCATCCCCAGCTCTCTATTAATTTTTAATGGGTATAATTTCTGTGTGCATGTAGAAGTCTTTAAAAAGTATGTCTCATTCTGTGTGGGTGTGTATGTGTGTGGGTGTGTGTGTTGTTCTGGGGATCAAACCAGAGCCTTGCATTATGCTAGCAAACACTACCACTGAGCTACATCTCTATCCCAGTACTCTAAATATTTTAAGCCTTGACATTATTTCCCAAGTTAAGTGATTTATCTGTATCACAAGTTGGAGGAAGACTTAAGGCATACTCGAGCTCTTGTATTTCTTGGAGAAGCTAGGATGCCATACCTCAGTTAACTTTTCAAATAAGGCCTTAAAATTACTTCCGACATCTTGCTATAATTCTCCATCGTGTCATCACATAGAGACCTAGAAAAGTCTCCCTCCCCCAGTGTGTCCTCACTTTACCAAAGGCTTTGCTGCTTTGTTTTCTCTCTTCTGAATCCTTTATACTGGGCTGTACGTTTCTGAATCCTGGCCCCATTGACATACTTTTAATCCATTTTTTTCACTTTATTTATTCATTCATTCATTTATTTATTTGGGGGGCATATGTACACACATGCCATGGTGAACCTGTGCAGATCAGAAAGGAGTTTTCAGAATTGGTTTTTCCTTCTATCATGTGAGTCTCGGGGATAGAACTTCGTCTTGGAGTGTCCTGAGCTGATACTGGTCCCTTAAAGACAGACCCTTAAAACCAAACCCAGTTTAGTGATTCACCAGAACTCGTAGGCCTCAACAAGGTATAACTCCTTCTTCCCCCGAGAGACAGTTTTTCTTTGTAACCCGGTTGCCCTCGAGCTTGCTTTATAGGCCAGGCTGGCCTCAAACGAGAGATTCACCTGCCTCTGCCTCCCAAATGCTGGGATTAAATGTGTGTAGCACCACCGCCTGACCCATGGTACAATTCTTACATGGCCAAGACGTAGAGAACAAAGATACAAAGGGAAAGGGATCATGAAGTACAGACCCAAGGAAAACAAAGGAAAACTTCCTTGAGCCTTCACCTAGAGGAATCATGCAGGACACATTTCATCCTGCCAGTGTGGAAATGCGGCAGTACATATGAAGTACTGTCTCCTATGGAAGTTGATTGGCAAGAATACACAGAATTTTTATTGAGATCTGGTCACAGAGGACTCTTCACTTCTGCCTAAATTCTAGGCTCACATGAGGAAAGCAGGAATCCAATATGTATCATATGCCTATCCAAACTGTTGAGGCTCTGTGAACCACCCTGTCAGATAGTTAAGGGATGGAAAGAACATCCCCTAACCTCCATAACGTAGATACTGCCAGGGTTAACCTGTAAGCAAACTTTTCTGAGATCAATGGTTCAAAATCTGCTATCTGTGTTCACTGCTTTCTGCGTGGTGCTTTTCATTTTTTAATCAATGTAATGCCTTCCATAGTATGATTGAAAGTATCTTCAAGCCGGGCAGTTGTGGCACATGCCTTTAATTCCAGCACTCAGGAGGCAGAGATAGACAGATCTTTGTGAGTTCGAGACCAGCCTGGTCTACAAGAGCTAGTTCCAGGACAGGCTCCAAAGCTACAGAGAAACCCTGTCTCGAAAAAACAAAAACAAATCTTCCACGGAGTACTGTTATGTAGCTTTTTACTGGGCTTTGCTAAAAAAGTTTGTACCTTTAAGTCTGGAAAGGCTTGTTGCAGCTCTTTGAGGACTCCAGCCCTTTGCAGAACGTGCACCATCTGGTTTCACTGCCTTGCCTACATCCTACCTGACTCATAACTGATCTCTACCCCCCTTTGTTTAATTTGCACAACTGTTTGCTCTACCCTAATTCCCAATGTTACCTCTTCTGCCAATAATGTATCTTACCCATTCTTCCCTATTGCAGCCTGTACTTTTTTTTTTTTTAACTTTTCCTCACTTTTATTTATGACATTTCCCCCGATCTCTTCTGGTCAAAAGTTCTTGGAGACAATTCCATCAGCATTAGCCAATCGGAGAATAGAATCATCTGACTCGCCCATCCTGCGAATGGCCCCGCAAATAGCGTAGGTTTTAAACTGGCCATTACACCGACCTGTGACCCTGTCAACCTCGGCCACGTTCATCTGGATGGACGCGTGGTCCTTGGCACCAATGATGCGGTTGCTCGCGGAGCATTTCCGCTGCACGTACAGGTCCACGAACTCGCCGGCGTCGTTCTGCATGTCGAGGTCCTGCCTGCTCGCTAGGCCGCGGGAGCGCAGAAAGCTGCAGCCTGTACTTTTCATGGCATTGATCCCATTGCTCAACTTTATACAATTATTTATTTAGATTTCTGTTTTTTCTAATTCAACTGTAAAGATCATTAAGACCCAACACTTGTGTAACCATGTAGTTAGTACTCAGATTTTATGTAATGTGTGGGTCTCCAAAACTGACCAGTAGGTCCCAAACTAACCCTTTTATGGTAAAATTCACAAAATAAATAATATAAATACTAAAACAATTTATGCCTATGTGATATGTACAGGATAAACAGGAAATGGGTTACAACAAGAAATTTGCACTGTAATTTTTTTAGGAATTTGTTTTTAATTATGTGTATGAGTGTGTATCTGCATATGAGTATGTGTATACGTGTGTAGGTACCTGTGGATGCCAGAGATGCATCCCCAAGAGCTGGAGTTATAGGTAGTTATGAGCTGGCTGGTGTGGGTGCTAGGAATCAAACACAGGTCTTCTGCCCTAACTGCTGAGCTATCTTTGTATTCTTTATTCTGTACTCTTAATTAAAGCTGTTTTTTTTTTGTTTTGTTTTGTTTTAAATAAGATAGTCTGTTGGTATACTAATGGTTTAGACTAGAAATAGTGAGAACTTTTTGGTGTAGTGGGAGTGAAGAGAAACATACACAGTTTTAAAATAAATGATTTGGTCTAAGTTTGATGAATCTACTTGGTATAGAGAAGGAGGAAGAAGGTGAAATACCTAGTTTTGATTCTTGTTGTCTATGGTATTTCTTTAAAAAGATACTTGCATAAAGAGTTGATTTCTGCCCTACTCTGTGTTTCAGACATACCTACTGAAAATCTGCTATGTGGTTGGTACTTACTTAATCCTTTTGATAGGCTGCCTGTAATCCCAGCATAAACAAAAAGCATGAGTGTCAGAACTTCAAAGGGTATTGACAGAATTGGCTATACAGAAATATGGAAACACTCTGACAAAAATTGTAATAGTTTTAAAAGATTCATTTGTATATTCTCTGATATACTTTATGTATATGAGTGTTTTCCCAGCATGTATGTATATGCATCATATGTATGTATTGCCTACAGAAAGAAGAGGGCATTAGATACCTTCAGACTATAGTTATCAATGGTTGTGAGCCACCATGTGGATATTGGGCCCAGATACTCTGGAATAGCAGCAAGTGCTTTTAATAGCCCCTCACTCTTGATATTTTAACATCAACATAGAATGTATTAAAAATTAATAACAAAAATAACTGAATTTTTTACAAAAAAAAATGGGAAAGGAGGACCAGCAGGATGGTTCACTGAATACCAAACCTGATGGCCTGCCTGAGTTGGATCTTTGTGACAGACATGCCAGGGCATGCTTACTCCCACCATACACGGGCAAAATAAATAATTTTTTTAATGGGCAAAATAGCATAAAGCTTTGATGTGGGATGCTCTTCTGTATATGTACTGCTCTAATTGGTTAATGAGTAAAGCTGCTTTGACCTATGGCAGGGCAGAATATACCCAGGCTGGAAGAGATATAGAGTAGGCAGAGTCAAGGAGATGCATGTAGCTGCCGAAGGAGAAAGACACTGCCAGAACCTTACCAGTAGGCCACAGCCTTGTGGTGGTATACAGATTAATAGAAATGGGTTAATCTAAGATGTAAGAGCTAGCTAGGAATACACCTAAGCTATTGGCCAAACAGTGTTGTAATTAACATAGTTTCTCTGTGGTTATTTGTGTCTTGGCAGTCTCTGCTTACAAAGTATCACAGGAATTAAAAAGAATATTGAGAGATTAAGTGTCATTTATAAAATAAATAAAAAGATGTCAGCAGACTTCATTTTTCTTCACTCAGAGTGTAAAGATTAAAAATTATGTTTAACATTTTGAACATTTTATTTAAAAGTTAATTAGGAATCTACATTATACCTTCTCTGACAATATGTCTCAAGTACTTCTGCCCCCCTGCCCTTTTCTCACTATATAGCCCTGGCTAGTCCCTGTGATCTAGAACTCCCTGTATGAACTAGACTGACCTTAAACCTACATGCTTCTGCCTCTCAAGTGGAATTAAAAGTCTGTGCTACTATATTGAGCTTATATATATCTTTTAAGCTAGTAATTAGTCTTTTTGAAATGCGTGAACTATATTAGAGTGATCAAAGACATGTAAAAGGATTGCTGCACTCTTTATAATAATAAAGAGTTGGCTTACTACATACTGATGTGATTAAATACATTATGGCGTATGCACAGTGTAGTTCTCTGTGTAGATTTTTAAAAGGCAAAGTACAGATTTGTATGTGACTATATTTCTTCAACTCTGATATATTTTGAAATGAATTAAGTATAGAACTGGCTGTGAGATACCCTACTGAAAACTGTTTAGTTTATGCCAGGCGTGGAGTCACATGACTTTATCCCAGCTAGAGATCAGAGGATCACTGCGGCGCGCTTCCTGACCAGGAGGAATGAACGCCACTAAAAACAAGAATTCCTTCCCTGGTCACGTCTTTATTTGGAGCCCTTGGTTGAGGAAAATTGGGGGAAGGGAAGAGAGCAGGGACAAGAGAAAGCTTAGAGAGAGCAAGTAGAGTCCAGAGGCAGCTGCTTTTAAACGGTGGAGAGGCTTGAATGCTGATTGGTTGATGCCATTTGCTGTTCTGCGCATGTGCGGGCAAGGGTGCTCAGCCCCACGTGGCTAAGCCAGGTATGGACTTATATACCTCCAAACTGCAGGACCACCTGTGCCTCCAGGTGGCTCCCTACAACTCCTCCTTTTATTGTCTTTAAGAGCAATAAGGCAAAACTATTTTCCAATCTGGTCCCCACCTCATGATGTGTGGACTGATTAAAGAAAAGAAAAGCAAGACACACCCTTCCCGTGCAATGGGACAACTACTTCCCTGGGAGTGCTAGGGCTGTGTCTGCACACCCTCCGCCTATGCATACCTTCCTCTGTGCCGTGGGACTATCTGGTCCCTAGAGGGTGCAAAGGCTATGCATGGCTAATTGCCTATGAGCTCTTTTGAAGCTGAGAGCCAAACTTGGGGTGAGGATACACATTCCAAGGCTGCCAAGGCCTGTGCCACAAAGACCTTGTCCCTCCTCACTTGGGCTAGCAGGTAGCACACCAATCAAAGACATACAGCACTTCCACCTAGACACAGCGTGCCAAGAATATCTCTGCTCCCACCCATTCCTAAGGAAGGAAAAGGCAAAATAGAGTCAGTCAGAAAATTGTTAAGAGATAAGAGGTTGCACAAGGTGCTGCTCAAGTTGATGGTGTGAAACAGTTGCTCTTGACACCGCCCAGAGGATCATCTCTGCTGTCTCCGCACGAATCTTCCACAGCAGGACACTCAGCATCCACTGGATCATCTTTCTTCTTTATTTCTCTTGTCAGTCTCGCTGGCATCCAGATGTATGTCAGCATTTCTAGAAAAACATAAACAAAACTCTCCTCCCAAATTAACATTTAAGAGTATTAAAAACTCTCAGTGTAAAAATTCAGCACAATCAGTACTGGAAGTAGGCTGGTTTTGAACTTAGAGACTTGCAGGTCTCCGTTTCAAAGAGCAAATCTTGTTTGCCTGTGCCATTAAAGCAGGCCTTAGAATTAGATGGAATTGCTTTCAAACAGAGCGTCTCTGTCTGTTGCTGTTTTTCCAGCAAAATTTTGAATTAAAAATTAAGTGTAAAGAATGCAAGAGAAATCCTTTCTCTGGGGGAAGCTGTCACTGGTAGTCCCCCTCTATTGTCTAAAACCAAAACAGTTGTCACTGGGAATTGAACTCATGACCTCAGGAAGAAGCAGGCAGTGCTCTTAACCTCTGAGCCAACTCTCCAGGCCTCTATTCAAATGAAAAAACCTCTAGGTAGCATTGTTTTTCCACCCGTTGCTTCAGGCAATAGTTCCGCCTTTGTTACCTAGGATACGGTAACCAGGTTGACACGCCTTTACTATGATAATTACGACCAATTCTTTGAGGGAAAATGGGCGTCGACAATCGATCTAGCTGCTTCCTGCTGACGACGGGACGATGTGCATTTTTTGGGGAATCTGACTGAATTTTTGGCGACAAATGTTTTTATCTGACTGAATTTTTTGGCGGCCACGGCTGAGGCGTGGCCCCGCCCCGGGCCGTGCGCGGGCTCGCCGTTTATCCTGTACCTGCGAACTGTGCACCCTGCCTCACCTCAGGCAATGAACTCGCACCGCCGGCCGTGAGTCTTTTCCAAGCTCCGGCGAGGGGGGGCCTCTCCTGCCCAGTCTGCCCACGCGCGGAGCCCCGTTCTCTGGGAACTCACCTCCCCGCTCGGGGAGGGCCCGGTTAGGGCCGCGGGGGGCCCCAGTCTCAGACCTTCCCAGGGGCCGGGGAGTGACGAGCACTCAGCACATGGCCCCGCCGATGAGCTTCCTCCGCCCGCCCATGTTGCTATGGAAACGCGGTTCAGAGTTTGGCCCCTCTCCGTCTTTAGGTCTTTAGCGGCGCTGCTATTCACCACGCAGCTTCCGTCTCAGTCAGGGCAAGTCCGCTCAGGTGCTGGGTTTAAAGGCGTGTGCCACCACCGCCAGGCCCACTTCCGTGTCCCTAATCAGGAATCACCGCTCATAGGCGAGCCGGCGGCCGCCAGCACTCTCCACACGATCAAGCAGCTTGTCTTTCTCAGTCAAAAATTAAAGTTTTCTGTACGTGAGAGCCAGAGACTGAGCTCTCTTATCAAAATTAGGCGAAAATCACCTCAAAAGCTCTGTGGCTCTTTAAGAACAGGAAAGGCAGTCGTCAAACACGATCAAGCCCGCCTCCCTACGAGACTGTTGCCTCCAGTCTCTAACAGCGAGTACGGACGGAGGAAGCCGCGGATCTCCCAACCGTAAACCTCGCTTTTTCTCAGCTCCACCTGCACTGAACTTGAGGGGTTTTTCTTCCCCGTTACTTTCTGTACCTTCTTTCAGATACCTTAACTTTGATTCTTTCTATTTTCTTTTCTTTTTAGGCCTATACTTTTTCCATTCTTTTTCCTCCCCTTT